CCCCGCCCCGACAGCCTTCCGACCCTCCATCGCCGAGCCGGGCCAAACCCGGGGGTCCCCGCCCCCGCCGGACCCCGACCTCTCCCCAGAGGACCCCGACGCCCCGCCTTACCGTTCCGACGACCGTGCACCCCCACAGCCCGCCCTGCCTTCGCTTAATGCCGCGCTACTTCAGACCTTAACGCACCTGGGTGACATCGTAGCGATTTTGGGCCCACTGCGTGACCAGCTGCTAACCCTGAACCAGCACGTGGAGCAGCTTCGGGGCTCCTTCGACCAGACCGTGTCCCTAGCTGTGGGATTCATCTTGGGCAGTGCGGCCGCCGAACGGGGTGTCCTGCGGGACCCACGCGAGTGAGACCCCGCCAGTGGCCAGCCATCCTGTCCAGGGCCAAGCTGCCTCTCCCTTGGCCCCTTTTGCAACCACCCCCACCCTTCATTAGGTATGTTAAATAAAGAGATTGTTTTGCCGACTTAACCCTGTGAATGAGTACAGGGCCAGGAATGGCCTCCTACAGATAGCGGCTTCAAAGGTCAGGCAGGGCAAGGTTAAAATGCTCCCAGATCCTAGGGAGGAGCTCGAAGTGTGCCCCCGAGGCATTATTTGACACCCTGGGGAGCATTGGGGTGGTAACCAGGACCTCCCAAGTGTTTCCCAGGCCCCACAGAGCCTTGTCCTCCTAGGAGTTTAAGCGGCACAAACCAGTGGTGAACAAAAACTGCCCTCCCGGGAGGCTGAGAGACCAGAAAGTGGAGGGAGGGACGAGGTAAAAAGACGAAGACTCCCTGTCTTCTGCCTACCCAGAAAGGGAAACTTTGAGTGAGACTGTCCCTAAGTCCTACCTTAGCCTGGACCAATGGAGCCATTTGGCTGAGTTCAGTCTGAACGACTGGACTCCATTCTCATGAACAGAGGAGGAGCCAAGGCAAAAGCACAGCTTTGTGGAAGGTCCCTTCTTGTCCCTAGGTAACCAGTTTGAGGTCTGAGCCCTTGGGCTAAGCCTGAGGGCAGGGTCCCTGCGGTTCAAGGAGGATCTAAAAAAGCAGCCTGAGTGGGGAGGCTTTTTAAAAACTGCAATTCCAGGCCCTACCTGGATGGGGGAGGGTATGGAGCCAGTGACTAGGATGAAGCCGGAGGCACTCCACTAGCATGACAATTACATGCTCAAGCAGAACAATGGGCCCATTTTACAAATTAAGGGACCCATCCGGGCCACACAGCTAAACAAGGAGTCCGCTCTGCTATCCCCACATGGCTGTCCTGAAAGGTTCACTCAGTGGGTAGCAGGGTAGCAGCTCCTCCCCCACTTGATTTTCTGGAGACCCAGAATAGGTCCTGACTTTCTGCAGCACTGATGTCAACTCCAGACATGAGGGCCTCTTTACTGTAGATTCTGCCTCCCAGCAAGCTCCAGACAGCCACATCCAAGCAAATACTTCCCCTAACAGGGTCCATAGGGCTCTGACAGCATGTCCTAGAGGAAGATACTCTGGGCCTTGAAGAAGAAATCGGCCTGAGTCTGGGCTGAGTTACTTGGTGCTCAAAATGAATCTGTTTGCTTTGATGCTTAACATAATGGATCTAAACGTACCCTCTGACCAATAATCTGCCAAGAGGAGCATATTTTGGCTGTGTAAATTACTCCAGAGAATATGGAGAGGTTAGCCTTTTGTCTACAAGTCGGTACCTTTAACTTAACCAAGTTCCACAGCTGGCTTCTTTAGTCCTTTAATTTGCCTTTGGTTCCCAAGACCCTTCTTGCCAGCCCTACTCGAAGCTGTGTCTACCACAGCAAGTGTGCTGTGTCCCTGCCTTAGTGTATAGTTGCCTTGGGCAAGGTCGTTAGGACTACTCCTAAAACTGGTACCCCTGTGGCTCGCTGGTGGCCCCACAGTGCTCCTGCCATCCTGTGCCTGCTCACCAGCAGCCCAGGGCCCGTGAGTGCCCTTTTCCTTTTATACTGCATCCTTCCAGTCCTGCTCACTGTTTTAAGAGGAGTCAGCCCGCTTCATTGGCCAACTCAGGCTTCCTGGGTAGTTGGGGGCTTGTAGCAATGACAAACTCCCTGGTCTCATTTCCTCCTGCTTCTGACCTGAGTGACTGGAATCTAGCTCTCTGCCTCATCCAGAGAGGCCTTGGCCTTGAGTTGGCCTCAGCTTCCCAACCAACTCCATGCCCTAGGGTGGGGCTGGGAGGCTACCTGAGTCCAGGTGTCAGTGCTTTGTTTTTTGAGACAAAGTCTGACTAATCCAACATGGCCTTGAATTTGCTATGTAGTCCAGGCTGACCTCAAACTTCCCATCCTGTCCTCAGCTGCAAAGTGCTAGGATTACAAGCATATACCACTAGAGTTTATACATCCTGCTGTGCTGCCTGGGCGAAATCCCGGTCCCTGCCTGGACTCTGTATAGTCAGTTCTTCCCACCAGTTCAGTATATTCATGATAAGGAATACCTAAATGTTTAAATTTTTTTTTTTGTACCGGGGATTAAACTCAGGTCCTTGTGCTTCCAAGCAGGTGGCAGAACCACTGAGCTAAATCCCTGGCCCCCTAAATGTTTAATTTTATTTTACTCCAAGTAGCCAACCTTTTCAGTTTGAGACGCTACACTCAGTGGACTCCCCATCCCCACCCAGTGCTACAGCCGAGAATCTAACCTAGGGCCTCAGACTTGCTAGGTAAGTACTCAACCTTGTTCTGCTAACTAAAACTTTAACAAGGAATGTGCCAGGCATGTGTGGTGGTGTACACCTGTAATCATGAGTTTGAGGCCAGCCTGGGCTACATAGTACAAGGCCAGCCTGAACTACAATTGTTCGTTTGTTTGTTTGTTTTGATTTCTCGAGACAGGGTCTCACTATGTAGTTGTAACTGACCTGGAACTCACTATGTAGTCCAGGCTGGTCTGGAACTCACAGCGATCCTCCTGCCTCAGCCTCCTGAGTGCTGGGATTATAGGCGTGCACGCCCAGCCTAGCCTGAACTACATAGTAAGACCCTGTGTCAAAAGACCAATAATAATAAGAAGAAATGTAGCTCAGTGGTAAAGCATTTGCCTAGCATGCATAAGGCCCTCGATTGGATCCCCAGCACAGCCCAAAAAAGTAAATGACCTTTAAAATTTCATGTTCACAATTTCCCACCTTCCTTATTTTCATTATCCAAAATTGGTCTATGTTTGCTCTTCTTTTTTTTTTTGGTTTTTTGAGACAGGGTCTCACTATGTAGTTGAGACTGACCTGGAACTCACTATGTAGCTCAGGCTGATCTTGAACTAACAGTGATCCTCCTGCCTCAGCTTCCCGAGTGCTGGGATTACAGGCGTGGGCCCCCACATCCGGCTCCTGCTCTTCTAATTATATCCTCCATACAGTATATTCTACCAGTGAATGCTTCATTGCTGGGAACTCTCAAATCCCTGTACAACCTGAGAGAGGCTAGGGCTGTTTGCTCTGCTAGGCCAGGTTCTGAAATCTTTTATTTCCGAACCTAGAATCCAGGATCTTGATCTATGGTATCTGCAAAAGACGCATCCCTAAGGTTTGGGTAACCTGTGTTCATCCTGTCAATTACAAGGCTCCCCCTATTCCCTGAAGGTCTTATTCCAATATTCTAATACTTGCTGATCTACATGCTCGAATATGGAGCTATTCCCTTATCGAGTTTTCCCCCCCTCCCAGCATCGCTCTCAATCCTCATCCCTGTTAGTGAGGTCCTAGCTTGTTCTGTTTTTAACAGTTGATGGCTACTGCGGTGCAAGGCATCCCTTTGCCAGGATCCCGCTCCTGAGTTGACTCCAAGGCCTTGTAAGCCTTTGAACAGATGTAGCCTTCCTTTCCCTCCCACTTGTAGCTGGAAACTCTGAGGCTTAGGCCTGTATTTACCTATACGTGGGCAGTTATTCCTTATGGTACGATTGTCTGTTCGTATGATGGATCAAGTACATTTCCTGCATGTTCAGGGCACTTGCTTCTCTCTGTTTTCTGAGGCCTCTATTACCCGTTTCTCTACCTTGAACAACCCAACCTGACTAGCTCTACTAGGATCTGACTATCCGCCTTGTGTTTTATGATTATATCTCCAATCAGAGACATCTTGTTGAAGTTCATGATCACCTACACAGGTCTCTCTTAGAAGACACTGATTTGAAAACATGTTCCTGGTGAGTGTCTGATGAGGCTGGAACCTCTTGTCCATTGCTAGTCCTCTGCCTCACCTCTCCATGGTGCCAGCACCTGCGGCTGGCAGCTCTGGGCTCTTGACTGCGTGCTGTGTTCCTCAGCTCTACCTGTCAGTATTGGGACACGCTCTACATTGCAGTGAGCCTCTCACGTCCTTAGTCATTGTAGCTGCTTGTTGTGGCTGCTGCTATTAACTCTATCTCCAGTCTCCCATATCTCTGACAGAGGTGTTGCCTCTCTCTCACGCCTCCGGGTTTGCTGTGGTCTCACAGCCTCCAGTGCATCCTTCATTGCGCAGAGCTGAGCAGCACTCTCTGGGATGACAGACTATTCTTAAAATACTACAAGTCGCTTGTGGCCACAGCCCTATAACCATGGTCTGTGCAATCACAGAATTGATTTTAAACCGGGTTCAGTGGCTCTCACCTGTAATCCCAGTGGGCTGAGTTAATCGCAGGTTTGAGCCCAGCCTGGACTACTTATTATGTTTTATTTGGAGGGGGTGCTGGGCAATTTAGTGAGACTTTGACTCAAATTTTAAAAATGGCTGGGGTTGTAGCTCGTTGTAAAAGCCCTGGGTTCAGTTCCCAATACTACAAAAATAAACATTTGATTTTAATTTAAAGAACCACCTCTGCCTCAAGGATTCGTGGACAGTGTCACTTTATTTCATTATTACTTGTTGTCTTAGATTTAAAATTAATTTAATTGCAAGATCCCATTCACTTCACACATCATAGGTTTGGGGTCTGAGGCCTGGCCAGGGTGCCTTCCAGGAGCCTGGCAGCGAAGAAACTAGCCAAAGGCTCCTTTCTGAATCACCTCCACTTGCAAGGCTTTCCTGAGTGCCTCAGCTCCTCAGCCCATCCAAACCAGAATCCCCCTTTCAGTATCCACACCTGCCTCTGTGGCTTACAGGTACAGGCCACAGGACCTGACGATGGCCATCATCTCTTGTGCCTGTTGGAGAGGAGTGGGTTGCCACCCTAGAAGTCACACCATAAAGGTCATGGGGCAAACTGCATCAATAACAGAGTAAGGAAAAGAAGGGGTGCCATAATGGGTGGGCGACCACACCTCTCGGCTCTTGGCTGCAGCACTGGCCTTCAAGGCTTTGAGGGGTGGAAGAGAACCCTGAGGGTATACCAGGGCAGGCTCATGCAGCCACAAC